CAGGAAAACTTAAATTTATATTTCATTTTATCTTTTACTATTATTTTAATTTATAATTATAAATACATATTTTAATTCAATTTAAGAAAATATTGAAATTAATTATTTGAAAACATATTTAAAATTGTTATTTTTTATATAGATTTTAAAAATAATTTCATTACTTATTAACAATTACAATTAAATTTAGAAGAATGGGAGCGTGGTGACATACTGACAAATAGTGAATGCCTAGTTTTGAGAGTGTTTAGATGACAATGGTTAAGGTTAAATCGAATAAGAAGGAATTTGGTAGACGTAAAACTTATTTGCATAAATGAGGATATTCTACTGATCCTATGTGTAAATGTGTAGTGTATATATAAGGTCAGTAGACTATAGATCAAGCTACAAACTACAATACACAGATTTAAGCATAGCACTGTTATAAGTACACAATGTGACAGATGCTGGCTTACGAACCTTTTAAATTTGCCTTATAACATCTTTGGCACACCATCTTTACATATACAATATATTTATTATGGATTTAACTTCTTACTTTAGATCTGTATACAGTTCATGTATCATTTATGCCACTTTCTTTATCCTCTACTTCTTCCAGTTAAATGAAATAAATATGCANCGTTAAAACTAAATAAATAAACCAACCTGTTGTCGTTTTATAATTGAAAATATTAGAACTGTGTTTTTAAATTTTAATTAGACACTTAAAATATCTAACTGGTGAATTGCGAACTACTTTTAGGATAGCTAATATGCATGAATCGTAATATTTTCATTATAAATTATAACTTAAATTGATTTCTCAGTCAGTAGATCACGAACTGCTGATTGAAATAAATAGTACAGTTGGATAATATTATAATTAGAATTCTTTAATATATTTGTTTACATGTTTGAAAATATGAATATTTTAAATTGTAACCATGACATTCAAACTTGAAATATTGCTTTACATAAAAAATTTTTTAGAAAATTCATTCTTTATTAAATCTAGCTAAACGAATCAACCTATTGTCAATTTATAATTGAAAACATCAATCATCGTGAAGCATTTTAATAGTGATAAATAAATATTTACTTAATAAAGTTTCTAAATTAATATATTTAGATTTTTTAAGGAAGCATTTTGTTTGGACAATTTTAAGTTTAACATTTTAATTTATATAATCCAAAAAATAATAAATGTAAATATTTCTAATTTTTTCTTATCACATATATTTTTATATAGATTTTAATCAATATTTTTAAAATCTATATAAAAGTGATATTTTTTACGCATGAAATTAATTTTTATATATAAAATAGCAATAAATAAATAAAAATAATTCCATCATTTCTATCGATAAATCGAAACAATTTACTTCCTTGTGGTAACCTGAACAGATGTTTTTAAAATCACTTTATCTTCAAACATTAACCAAAAAAAAGTAAGAGGAATAAATTTATTTAGCAATATTTTAGAATTATTATAAAATTTAAATTATTTTCTTAAAAAATATATTTTATAAATAATTAATTAGAAAATAAAACAATTTCATACGCGCTGAAAGATTATGCTAATATATTATTAAAAATAACTACTGATCTTTATGACACTGTGATAATGCGAAGTCATTAGTGAAGATAAAATAGTTTCATCCGTACCGATTATCCTGATAGTGTGGAAAAACCTCTAGTAATTTGTTTTGATACCAAACTGATTAGGTTAAGAATATATTAAATGAAAATTTTATATCAAACATGTGATGATACTTTCCTTTCTTTCCCTATTTTTTTCCTCGTGTTCTTTGTGGAGAATAAATGGATTTCCATTATATTTTTTATTCTTTTGTTACGTCTCTATGGATATATCATTTAATATATAGATGAATAAAGTAATGAAATACAACTTACATTGTATTCTCAAGTAAATAGCATTACTTTCTCCTTGCCCTTCACTGTTGATAGCTAAACATTTATAACTTCCTTTATTCTTTCTTCTTATTTTTTTAAGGACTAAAGAATTATTTGCTATTATAATTCCTCTCGTAGAATTTGCTTTAAGTTCTTTATCATTAAATTTCCATTGAATTTCTTTAGCTGGAGGATTGGATACAACATTACATTCAAAGAAAACGTCGCTTCCTTCATAGATTTGTGAATGATGAATTTTATTACCTAATGATAAAGCACTTCTTTTTAATGTATTCGTTAAGATTAATGATGATAAATAATAAATTTTACTGTCTATTTAATTAAGTAACAATTAAAATATAAAAAATTTAAGCAGTTAATTAAAATTGCACCACATACAATTTATATAATGGTAAAAATTTAATTTCTTCAACTTTCAAGATGCGTTATGAATTTTTTTAACGCTAGTTTACTAGTAAACAGTAAATTTAATTTAATTATTTTGCCATACAGACATAACTAATGTACGATTTTTAATAATAAATTTATTGAAGTAGATTAAATATATATATTTATATATTTTTACCTGCAGGTACAACAGTATACACACAAGGTTCTCTTTGTTTTCCAACTTCGTTTGTACCCCAGCAAAGTAAAGTACCGTAGTCATATTGAGTTCGCAAGATATAAGTAGCAATACTGATTGTCCCTTCAGTCCTGAAGTTTACTACTTCCAAGTTCTCGACGGTGTTGTTGAACTCCCAACGAAATGTCACTTCAGATGGATCGGCTTCGACTTCACATATAACTTTAATTGCTTCGTGTCTGGCTGCTCCATAAATGATTTTCTGACTTGGTTTGCAGAAAGGTGCATCTAATAAAATATTAAGACGTGAACACTATTTAAAATCTTCATCGTTTGAATGCCTTTAAACATATTAAATCATTTTTATAATTAATACAAATGCTGGCAATTTTATACGTTTTAATTGCTAAAGAGGTTTTCCTTCGATATTTATATCAATTATTTTAAATTAGGATTTAAGTTTAAATGAGATTTTCGCTTATGTTTGTTATAAATGAAGTTTTTTTTAATAATGTATTGTGACTGTTAAGTGCATCTTGGATTAAGATAGAAGTGATTAGTTGAAATAGTGTATAAAATATTAAGAATTGTGTTTTCAAAATTTAATTACAAGAGGAATTGTGATTATATATTTATATAATGATTTCCTCGACTGGTAGATCGCGAATTAGTTTGTGTTGTTATGAATTATGTCCTATATGATACACTATCGTAATAATTTCATCATTAATTACGGATTAAATCTATTCCCAGTTAGTAGATCACGAACTACAGATTGAATTCAACCTACAGATTAAATAAACTTGTTATAAATCATTGTCTTGATATTTCTTCGCATGTTTGAATTTATGTAATTTTTGACTTGTAGGTTGCGATTTACAACTTGAAATGATGCTGTAGATAGAAAACTTTTGTTGAAATTTTTCGTTAAAACTAAATAAATAAACCAACCTGTTGTCGTTTTATAATTGAAAATATTAGAACTGTGTTTTTAAATTTTAATTAGACACTTAAAATATCTAACTGGTGAATTGCGAACTACTTTTAGGATAGCTAATATGCATGAATCGTAATATTTTCATTATAAATTATAACTTAAATTGATTTCTCAGTCAGTAGATCACGAACTGCTGATTGAAATAAATAGTACAGTTGGATAATATTATAATTAGAATTCTTTAATATATTTGTTTACATGTTTGAAAATATGAATATTTTAAATTGTAACCATGACATTCAAACTTGAAATATTGCTTTACATAAAAAATTTTTTAGAAAATTCATTCTTTATTAAATCTAGCTAAACGAATCAACCTATTGTCAATTTATAATTGAAAACATCAATCATCGTGAAGCATTTTAATAGTGATAAATAAATATTTACTTAATAAAGTTTCTAAATTAATATATTTAGATTTTTTAAGGAAGCATTTTGTTTGGACAATTTTAAGTTTAACATTTTAATTTATATAATCCAAAAAATAATAAATGTAAATATTTCTAATTTTTTCTTATCACATATATTTTTATATAGATTTTAATCAATATTTTTAAAATCTATATAAAAGTGATATTTTTTACGCATGAAATTAATTTTTATATATAAAATAGCAATAAATAAATAAAAATAATTCCATCATTTCTATCGATAAATCGAAACAATTTACTTCCTTGTGGTAACCTGAACAGATGTTTTTAAAATCACTTTATCTTCAAACATTAACCAAAAAAAAGTAAGAGGAATAAATTTATTTAGCAATATTTTAGAATTATTATAAAATTTAAATTATTTTCTTAAAAAATATATTTTATAAATAATTAATTAGAAAATAAAACAATTTCATACGCGCTGAAAGATTATGCTAATATATTATTAAAAATAACTACTGATCTTTATGACACTGTGATAATGCGAAGTCATTAGTGAAGATAAAATAGTTTCATCCGTACCGATTATCCTGATAGTGTGGAAAAACCTCTAGTAATTTGTTTTGATACCAAACTGATTAGGTTAAGAATATATTAAATGAAAATTTTATATCAAACATGTGATGATACTTTCCTTTCTTTCCCTATTTTTTTCCTCGTGTTCTTTGTGGAGAATAAATGGATTTCCATTATATTTTTTATTCTTTTGTTACGTCTCTATGGATATATCATTTAATATATAGATGAATAAAGTAATGAAATACAACTTACATTGTATTCTCAAGTAAATAGCATTACTTTCTCCTTGCCCTTCACTGTTGATAGCTAAACATTTATAACTTCCTTTATTCTTTCTTCTTATTTTTTTAAGGACTAAAGAATTATTTGCTATTATAATTCCTCTCGTAGAATTTGCTTTAAGTTCTTTATCATTAAATTTCCATTGAATTTCTTTAGCTGGAGGATTGGATACAACATTACATTCAAAGAAAACGTCGCTTCCTTCATAGATTTGTGAATGATGAATTTTATTACCTAAGCGAAGATTAACGTATGGCTGATCTAAAAATAATTAAATTATTTATATATATATAAGAATTTCTTTTATAAAATTAAAGATTGTTATTATAATTAAATTTCGTATATTTTTAATAATTATATTTGCAAAATTAACTACAATGAAATGAAATATTAACTTTTCGTCGATAATTGTTTTAGATGGAAAATAATTTACATTTTAATAATTAAATATATTTCGAATATTCGTGTTTAAAACTATTATTCAAGTAGCGTAATACAATGCCTGAGGAACTTTCTGATATAACTGAATGGATTATTTTGTACGTTATGAAGTCTAATTATAGCGTGCTTATTCGTAATCACTTACACTCCTACTGAATTCCTGACAGTTGATTATAATTAAGTAGTGATGAGAAAACTCAGTAATAATGCAAGATACATAAAAGTAAATGTGCTACTTACAATACACTTCTAACAGCCAACTGTCTTGTATTGAACTGGCTGGAATGTAGGTGTTGTGTGCTCTGCACACCACATTAGTTCCGTGGTCTTCTCTTGTCGGTGTAAACCTTAGAGTACTTGTGGTGACGTATCCGTCAATAGAAACACTCTCAGTGCTTTGCTTTAGTTGTCGTTTCTCCAACCACCACGATACTGCAGCAGGTGGTCGAGAACCTGTCACCCTGCAAACTAATTCAACTGATCTTCCAGCAGACAGTGGACGTTTCTCCCCTTCTATCTCCGCTTTCATAGGTCGGTCTAGCGAGACAAACTCCTAATTACTTCACATATATACTTTAATTACAACATCTTAATTAGTGAAAATAAATTAAATGACTTCCGCGCCTAAATTGTCATTATAGAACGGACTCTACTTAGTGTTAAGTACTTTAATGAATATACCAAAAATGTATAAAACATTCAATAAGAATAGAATTTTTAAGGGAATGATCATTCACCTTTAACGTCATATCGATTTTAAAGAATGTTTTCGACACCGTACTCGAGTTAGATTTATCAAAAAATACAAATAACTGTAATTCAATTTGTAACACTATCTACGGATGTGTGACATTTTTGCTTAAATCTATAGCTTCAATTACACTCACAGTTCATATCGACGGTAACGGATGTTGAAATCGGATCCGAAAAATTATTATTTGAAGCTTGACACGTGTATACCGCCATAAGGTCGTGACGTTGAAGCGACGCTAATTCCAATTCATTGCGAACAATTCCTAATGGACTGACGTCAAAAGTGTCATCTAATAAGACTGATTCCCTCCACCAAGTTACCATTGGCAACGGTTTACCTGCCACAAAACATGCGAAATGTAATCATCAAGTCCTGTTGACTAATAGAAACCTTAATCACATTTCATTGATTAACTTACCACCTTCCGCTTCACAAATGAGAACAAGTCGATCTCCCTCGTTGTAAGGTCCTATCAAACTTTGTAAGATCTCTCCACTGTGATCTGTAATGATGGGTTTCTTGGGTGGTACTAAAAACACAGCAGAATTTACAACTGTAATGATTCTCAATGGTGATTATATTATGCTTCTAAGTAGATAATCATAATTTAATTTACATTTACTTTCAAGATAAACTTTTCAATATTATATATATATATATATANTAAATGCATTCTTAGTACATCATCTTTGATTCTTTGTTTTGCAGTCAAGACCAGAAGATCCCTCAGGTTGTTAATGTCAGGCAATTAATTTATCCAGTCAGTGTCGATGTCATTTTGTAAGCTATCCTTAACTTTATATTGAAATTTTCCATCTTCAGGGATTTAATTATTATTTCATTGTCTTACGTTTACTCAATGATTTGATTCCAACTACGCTGCTTACAATTAAATTTCCGACAAAGATACTTTCTATTGATAAGTAACAAATACGTGGTAAAAAATAACATTAAAAAAATCGTAACACGCTGTCTGAAAACTTTACTCTGCTTCTAGAATGTAGATCGATACACACATTCTAGAGTAAAGACTCGCTTCTTGTAGAGGGGAAAAAAAATTTATTATAAGATTTAAAGTGAAAGGTGCGCTTAAAATATATTTTTTTAAATTAAAATTCATAAAAAACATCTTATTTTTATATGTTTTAATGACTACATTAAATTTTAATTATATAAATATTTAATTTTTTATATAGAATAATTCAAATTTTAAAGTTTAGAATCCATTAAAAAACGCGGGAGTGTTTTTATATTTTTTATCAAAGAATTTTATCAGTGAAACCATTCTATAAATGCAAATCGCTATCAACTTTAAGGGGGGAAAACAGTTTTCTAATTCACGATTTTCTTTAGATAATGGTTCATAAATGTTCTAAATGATAGAGAGGCGTTAAAAAATTGTTTGCAACATAAACACGAATATCATTGTTATTCTAAGTATATGCACTTCAGTTTTAAATTAACATTTATGGAAGATGTTCTTGGAATTCTGATTGCTTAAGAGATATGTTTAATGTATACAATTCTGCATTAGATTTTTATAAAAAATAAATTAATTTAACATCGTTTCCATTATTTTATTTTAATATCAACGTTTAAAATCGCGTATAGATCTTAGGCGATTTGTTAAAATTTACGCGTAATTCCATAAGAGTATATAAGTAAAAAGAAAAATTATATTCTTTCTATTTTTAAGAAAAAAGTATTGATCTTTTTAGAAACGTTTTCTGTTGTTATCAATAGTCCGATCTGTAGTTTTTCTTCAGTCGTTTAAAATGACTACGATATAGCTTCAACAGGATAAACTCAAGCAATCGAAGCGCAAGTAATGACTTCTTTCCAATCATGGATTCTTGTTGGTCGTTCGTCAAAGTCGCTTAGATAGCAATATTTAACTTAGCTATACTTTTTAATTCGCTTAATAGGTATTACATTAGTGAAAGTATGGAGAAAATTTCTTTTAGAAATCATTATTCGTGAATAAAATAACATTTCTTAATCGACAAAATCTACCATGAATGATTTGTTTTGTCCAATTTAATTATCATTATTTCGACAACTTAACATGGTATGGATGATATATTGTTGCTATTTTAATTTAATTTCATTAAATTAAGTGTAGAAACAAGAGTTTGATCGTGTTTCCACTCCCATTCTCTTACTAGAAAATTGCTATTTAGCAGAAAGCCACAATGAAAGTTTTCTGATATTTTTTAACTTTACTTTTATTTTTATGTTTCTATTTTTTTATTTTTTAAGTGGTAAATGTTTAGTTGTAGAAATGCTACCAGAAAGTCATCGAAGCACAGTAAGCTGTCATCTATAAAGTTCACAGGCTTTTTACCTGACAACTTAATCTTCAGAAATACCATAAGGAAAAAGGCTTACAGTATTTCTGTCACATCTATAATTTGAAGTCGAAGGAAATAACCAATTAGTAGAAAAATATATTGTACTTAAAGTTTAAGCTCAACACTTATGGTAATGTATAGACTACAATATTTCTTCTACATACAACTTGAGGATTTTTATCGCCATCAGAACATTTCTTTAAGATTAATTTTTAATTCTTTATTATTTTTTAAAAAATGATTATTATATACAATTAATTCTGATAATTCTTTCAAAGATACTAATTAGATTACAAGATTAGTAATTAATTCGAAATCAATGCAGATTAATAGACAATGATAATTTTTAGTTTTGGATCATTATTGTAAATTAACCTCTTCGAATAATCAATCTTGATAATAGGATAATAAAAATGTTAATGAGTTATTTAATTAGTTCATTGAACCTTTCATTTCATATTTTTCCTATTGTATATTATGACAAATATTTATTTCTCTACTTACGAATGAATTGTAAGTGGAGAGAGAGAGAGAACTTCTTGAACAGAACAACTTAAAATCATTAAAAGTTTATAAATTGCATATTTAATAACTATCTTTGTAGGAAGTTAAATAAATTATTAACAAAATACATGTGATATAGTGAGTTTGAATGACTATTATTTTGCTTTGGTCAGGAAATACGTGTTTAGAAAGCTAATAATGTCTGCTTGAGGGTATTTGAGAGCTTTTCCATGCAATCAACTGTACCATCGATTTAGAGGTCAATTCTTTGAAAATTCATCCCACCTACTAAATCATATTTTAATTTCTCTAAATTTATGTTAATTTATTAATATTTAATTCCAAAAAATTATTCCTGAAAACTCTATCTAAGAAGCATAAAAAATTGAGTATGTCAAACATGGATAAGAGGAGTAAAGGATCCATAAAAAGATGGATGTGGTTAAGGATGCATATGTGAGAGGAAGGAAAAAAGTATTAAAAAATACGTTGTTACTCAATTTAATAAATAAATTGACAAGAATTTTTGTAAGAATTCTTGAATCGTTAATCTTGTTAAATGGCATGAGATGATGATGATGATTCGCTAGACAAATCAAAGATTTCATTGTATACTTTCTTATGTTATACGATGATTTTAACTTTGTTTTTACTACATCGTAAAACGCATTAAATTCTGAAAAATTGTGTTTCCTAATTTTATTTTACCATTAATAGTTGTTTTTATATCGTGAAGAGCTCGTATTTGAGATTAAAGTGATGGAACAGATGTTACACTTACCACATTTTTTCACTATCAATATAACCTTGAATTGTTAATATACTAAAAAAGAAATATTGTATATTATTAAAATGTAGTTTTTATTATTTAAAAATGATGTTTTTAGTTATAAAAATCGATAAATTTGAGAAAATTTTACTGTAAAGTAAATGCATTCTTAGTACATCATCTTTGATTCTTTGTTTTGCAGTCAAGACCAGAAGATCCCTCAGGTTGTTAATGTCAGGCAATTAATTTATCCAGTCAGTGTCGATGTCATTTTGTAAGCTATCCTTAACTTTATATTGAAATTTTCCATCTTCAGGGATTTAATTATTATTTCATTGTCTTACGTTTACTCAATGATTTGATTCCAACTACGCTGCTTACAATTAAATTTCCGACAAAGATACTTTCTATTGATAAGTAACAAATACGTGGTAAAAAATAACATTAAAAAAATCGTAACACGCTGTCTGAAAACTTTACTCTGCTTCTAGAATGTAGATCGATACACACATTCTAGAGTAAAGACTCGCTTCTTGTAGAGGGGAAAAAAAATTTATTATAAGATTTAAAGTGAAAGGTNTTAGAAAACGAAATTCTTTAATAAGATAATCGAATTCTGTAATTTGATTTCTGAAGAAAATTATTGACGAAACTTGTTATAAGTACTTTTCTTCAAGTTGACTGTAAATCCGATAATAAAGTATTGGAAACATTTTTCAATAACGAACCTCTAAAGAAATAAAAGAAATAAAAAAAACAAGATATTCAATTACCAAGAACAGTAAGAATGACATCTGAGTTACGTGTTCTGGCTTTCTTGAAATCAACGCGACATCTGTAGAATCCTTCATCTTCTTCAAGAAGTGGATCCAATTGCAAAGTTGCAGGACGACTCGCTATACTGAGGTAAGCTCGATTGGAGAGGACATCGCTTGCAGCATGACGTGCTTGATTTAAAGAACCTCTTCGAGCATCCAGACTGTATGAAGGGGTAGTTGCTTCGTCTTTATACCACAAAATTAGACTTACCGAATCGTCTTCGGTAGGAGAAGATATGTTGCATGGTAAAGATACTTTGTTACCAACGATTCCAAAAACGGTCTGAAGAAATTCTAAATAAGAAAAATGCAATAAAATGTAAATTGTGTTCTAAAATATTAATTTAAAAAATGTCGGAAATTTGTTTAAAACTTTTTTAAAATTTTTAAATCAAGTTTTTATATGTTTTAAACGTCTCTAGTTACATTTTACTGTCATCTTAAACATTGATAATGAAATTAAAACAGTTTTTAAACAGTTGTAATAATTTTTAAAATATTTTAAACATTTTAAGATTAAATTTTAGTAATTTTTTACTACTTATAATAAAATTTTAAGTTTTAAACATTTATAAATATTTTAAAACAAGTTTTAAATCATTTCTAACATTTTAACAATAAGTAAAACAATTCATAAAGAATTATAATCATTTTTGCAGATTTTTAAACGTTTTTTAACGCTATTTAACAACATTTAAAACATTTCTAAGTGAAATGTAAATGGGAAGCAATTTTAATGCGCATTTTTAAACTTTTTAAACAATTATAATAAAATTTTGGTAATTTCTAAACGTTATTAAGCGATACCAGAAGGACGAATGGTTAAGGTGACAATCTACTGCTCTGGGGAGCAGAGATTGAATCAGGAATTTTTCGAGAGTGATCCATCTCTCACCACCCAGATACCCCATTGTGGACTTAGCAGAACCCATAATGTGCTTGCAATAGAGATTCTCTTAGCACTCCCAGAGTGGAAAGAGTTTTAAAAAATTTACTAAATAAAATTATACATTTCTAATATCTTAAATAAGATTTAAATGCATTTTTCAATCATTTTAATTATTAATTAATATAAATTTTTATGTCAAATTCTTCACAGGATTACATATATACACTTTTATTGATTTTTTAAAAATTTTGTAATTTTTTTATATATATCTTTAATACTTGTACTGATTAATTTAAATCAAGCATTAAATTCTCCAGAAATTGAAGTGGAATTAGTTTGGTGACCAGAAAATAAAAGATAAGATAGAAAGTCAATCGAAGTTAAAAAATAATAAGAAGTAAAGATAGAAGCTATAATCGAATGAAATAACTTGCTATTTAATAAAAAAGAAAAGAAAAAACTTAAAACTTAAATGATGATGAACTCATATTTTTATCTTCTATTAAAAAAGAAATCGAATTCGACTATCATTTTTATATATTTTTCTTACTAAAGTGTAATTTCGTGTCATATAATACTGATCTAAACACGGCCATACATGAATAGTTGAGTTAACCTACTTGTAAACAGCCCATAAATAAAATCTTTGTTCACTTACTCTATGCCATTTATTTTTATATGCAACATTTCATTCTTACCTTTAAAATTTGTAAGGTTTTTCAAATAAAAATTTCAAAGCTTTTGTTGGTTACTTTATATAAATAACTAACAAAGCACCCCCATTTTTTTGATAGATGCCTACAGTGGAATGAACAAGAAAAGTTTAGACAATATTATAAATTAACGATGTTACAAGCTTAATACTGTAAAATAAAGTTAATTATAATCTTTAATGATGTTTATTATGTAAATATAATTAAGTTTGTTACCCAGATATCTGTACAACGACGTATCCAGGTTACATTTTTAGGGGGTCATCTTCTGTAAATGCTGGAAAAGTCCTTTATAAAAGTAACGATGTTAAGATATTTAATGCTATAAGATAAGGGTAATTATAATCTCTAATGAAGTTTTATATAAATATAATCAACTTTGTTATAAATATGATGATATCTATGTTGATGGTATTCGTTTTTAATGATGATATCTGAATACATCACCTTTATATACAGTTTTTTGTACATAGATTTAAAAAGTTCTTATATACATATGCTTTTGGTTAGGGGAGGTATGTGCCCCTTTCACCCCTTCCTAAATATGCTCTGTTTGAATGTATTGAAGACGAATTATGTTACATCGCAAGAAATATGATCACAGAATGTTTAGTTAAAGTATTTAAAATGTGGATTATGTAGGAAATTATAAATGTTTGTTGTAAAATGATGATCATTTATATAACAAACACCATTTTACAGCAAACATTTATGGATGTTTGTTGTTAAAATCGGTATTATAAAATAATAACACCGCATAAAAGTAAAACAAACATTAATTTAATTTAAGAAAAAATTGTAGATTATTTTATATAAATATATTTTTAAAATTATAATTTTAATTCCATGAATTCAAATTGATTTGCTCATTCTTCGAATGGAACCATTTATCCGTAAGATAATTCATAATTATAAATTGATAAAAATAGAGATTCCCAGTCATAAAAACAATTTAAAAATTGTTATTTTTATACAGAAATTTGTATTTTTATAAACTTTTAATTAGTAAATATGATGTAAGGCTTATATTAATAATGGAACGAAAAATCTCTTCAGAAAAAATTCTAAATCATAGATTTATTTCTGTAAACGAAGTAGAAGAATTATTTAAATAGTGAAGCAGAAAAGATAAAATAAAATTTGTAATCCGTTTATGAAAAACAAAGTGAATTTTCTTTATGTTAAGAGCTTACATACTTCTATTACATTCATTATCAGGATCATTACCTTTTGTACCGTTGATGGTTAATATTTGTTCAACAAAACTTCATTCAGAACTCGATTTTGTAACCATTACAATTTTCTTTAATGTCTTTAACCATTTATATACGTTATCATAAACGAGGAAAACTTATAATAAACTAAATCTGTTTACTAATGAATTATGAAAATAGCAAAAGCAAAAAAATCTGTAGATATTTGACATAAAAATTACAATAAAATAGGGGAAAAGAAGAATTCGCTTAGTAAAAATTTACGTTGATTTTAATAATTTAATTATATAATATTTAATTAATACTTTAAGAAAATTGTAAAATATCTCATCATTTTTCTAGTAGGTGTATTGATTTCTTATACGTTTTAGCATCAATTACTCTGTATCTAGATGAATGTATTTGGTAGAAAAGACTACATAAATAGATAAACTTCAGAATATAATGACATACTGAAACTTCCCGCTAGCAAATAACATTTTTATTGTATAAGAGATAAGTTTTATAGGTATTCTGCTTGGAAGATTTTGGATAGTTTACATCGCAATGCAAGAGTAGTTTTGGAGACATTGTCTAAGATTTTCATTTCTATCCATTACGATACTTCCTTTCTTGTAAGTCATAAAGTTATATTTCTGCAATTTCCACAATTTATGTAGCACTAGTCGTGAGCAGAATTCTTTTTCTTCTTCTTCTTTTTTTTTTAAGTATAAGGTTTGTTAAAGAGAAAATAGTACGATCGTAAATCATTCGTTCATTTACTCTACTTAAAATACGTTAGATCTTATAATGATTCGAGAAAACGTGAATTTGAATTTGTAATTTCAAGCCTTTAAAGAATACATACTTAATATTTCTTGCAATGTAATAATATATTACAAATTCTGTTAAGAAGAATGTACTCTTATTAAAGACAGGTAAATAAAAATTTTAATTACCTCGAGTTATTACCAACTACCAATTATATAAGATGAGAAAACAAAATTACACTCCATTTTTCACCATCAATTAGTAATGATACTCACTTTTAAAGGTTAAAAAATAAATTTTATTATGTCTTTATTTAAAATGTACATAAAATAAACTATAAGAATATAATTAAAATTTACAATCATTCAATTAGAAGATTATAATGTAGTGAAAACATTCTCCTTTTTATCAACAGTTTATAATTACACTTATTTAAATGTTAAATAAATAAATAAATAAATTTCTTATATTTTTATTTAAAATTTTATATAAAAATATAAGAAAGTAATTAAAATTTCTAACTGTTCAACTCAAATAATGATAAAAACACTCGTCATTTTACATCATTTAAGTAATGGTACTTACTTAAATGTCAGAAAATAAATAAACAAATAAATTTTTACGTTTTTTATTTAAAGTTTAAATAAAAATATAAGAAAAATAAATTAAAATTTGTAACATTATATCGTCAAATTCAAGGAGAATGATGTAGAGAGAGAAAGAGAGAGAGAGAGAGAGAGAGAGAGAGCAATGTTAGTGAAGTATCTGCTGTACGTGTGTTGAATATTTGTTCATAGTAAAAATTATGATACCATTTACCATCGTAAAAATTAATTTTCCGCTCTACAATAATGAGGGTAATCCTGTATGATATTCGTGCATGACACATGTCGTGATTATCAGAATATTTGTATTCACATGTTATAAACTATTGCAATTAAAATTAAAGCGTAAAAGAATCTAAGTTAATGGAACAAAAATATTGGGAAATAACATTTCTAACTGCAATTTTTTAACATTTTTTTTCATCTTAATTGCAAATTCTTTCACGTTTTATAATAAAGAATACTCCTTCAAGAGGTATAAAGTTATCTTTTATATAAATATATATGCTAATATTATAAAAATTAATAATTTTTTCTGTAAGGATGAATAATGAAAATGGAATGTTATTAATAGCAATTTTTATGATTGAATTTGTTAAAGATTTTTATTTTTTTAAATTAAAATGTAAGAGTGAAGATATTCAAAACTGTTAGAACTTGAAAAATGTTTGCGATAAACAATTTTCAGAATTCCAGCAAACTTATTTAATGAAATTTTTGTTTTCTTCTTTGTAAGTTTGACTACTGAAAAGATTTTATTTAAAATTATATATATACAAAGTGTTAGAAAGAATTGAAAGTAGCAAGAAGTAAAGAGCAGAAAAAAAGAAGAGGAAAAAAAATCTTTATATATGAAATTTAGAATTACAATCACTGATTAAATTTGAAAGTAGATAATTTATACGTTCATGAATTTTGTATGACATGTATGAAGATAAAGTTGCAAAATTCGTCGCCGTCATTTTTCTGGAACATATGCCAATTTTTGAATGCCTGTTTACTAGAAAAATATCTTGATTAACTTTATTAATTGTTCAAAAATTTCTAAATTTCATTTCATTTTAAAAGTAGGACTATTTCATGAACTTAAACAGAAAAAAGTACTTATATATTCATATAAAAATTCAATTCAATTTTTATGTAAATATATATAAGTTTATGGAATATATTTATTATATATATATATTGTAGGTTTATGTGAATACAATTAAAAATTTTTCAAGTTATAGTCAAATTTCGATATAGTGTCTACCCTCTTAAAGCGCCAATAAAAACAAAATTATATCCAAATTAAGTGACATTCAAGAGCTCAAACTCAGACTTGCGTGTCGACCTCGTTACTACATATAGGCTATTTTTTATTGTTCGAGATACTTCGGTTTAGCGCCACATTCCAATTTAACACCAATTTCAGAGGTTAGGCTAAATCGAATATTGAATGTATACATTAATATTTCTGGAAAGTAAAGCCTACTCAAGGTCCAGAAAAGGTAAAGGAAAGAAGAGAAGGAAGGGATGAAAAAGAGGTTTAANAGTGCTCATTTTTCTGTTTTTCTTAGAAAATGGTGCACAGTTGAGCCCCGAGTCTCTGAGACGTAGTCTTGTCCCAAAAATGGCCTTGCTGTTTTAATTTTTTCTTTATATTTAATAGTTATTAATTTATTATTATTTATTTAATTTTGCCACGTTTTGAACCCTTAATTACAATTTTTTTAATTAATTGCAACTCTTTTCTTTTCC